CTTTTCCTTTTTTGTTTTCTTTAGGTCACGAGCAGTTGTCCAAGCATTTCACTACATATCGTACTGTGTATGACTGTGTACGTGACAAATAAAATTTGAATTTGAATTTGAATTTGAGTCGTCTGTCAGGAATCTCGGGGTAACTCTCAACTCTCACTATGGATCAAATCTCTGGTTCACTGTTGTCTTGTCATCTAAGTTAACTACCATTGTGTCGTGCTCTGAACTGAACATGCTCTGAATCATTATTCATGCACTTCTTTCATCACATCATTGTTTACTCGTGTAACCAAAACTGCTGAGAACATCTGTAGGTTGACCACACCGCTGCTGCGAGGCTTCTGACCAAATCAGTGGTCAAATGTCAGTGTTGAAGAAAATACAAAGGTTTTAGAACAGCCCAGTTTTTCCAGTTATTTATCGCAATTCAAGTCGTTCAAGTCTGATGAACAGCTTGAAATGGTACAAAGGTAAGTGGTGAACTGCTAGAGGTTAAAAAAGAAGTAAGTTTGCCCGAAACTGAAACATAATGTACATTTCAGAATTACACAAAAAGGCCTTTTTCAGGGACAACATGGGTTAACAATTTAATCTGTTCTGCAGCAATGGAGGTTGCTCAAGCCTTGAAAGCTGGTGCTACTAATTCCTACAGGTGTTCCAACTTTTCTGGATTAATTGCAGCCCCATCTGTCTGCATAAAGCAGTGTTGAACACACTGTGGTACCAGACCCTCGTCAGCATCAGCTGAACAGTATCGTACTGCAGAAAGTAGTGTTGTTGCAGAAATGGTGAGAAAAAGGCGATTAACAATGGAAGAGAGACCGACCATCATAACACTTATAAATGTGGGTCTGTCCTACAGAGAGACTGCAAAGAAAGTCAAGGTGTCAGTGAGGCCAGTTTCCTTCTGCACTCAGAAACAAACTGTGACAGGAAGAGGTCTGCAAGCCTGAAACTGAATCAGAGGACAAGTTTCTGAGAGTTAACAGCTTGTGTGATGGCGGCTCACAGGACAACAGCTTCAAGCAGCTCAGTCGTGGTGGTAGTGAGAAAGTCTCAGTTTCAGCTGTGAAGAGAAGACTTCAAGCTGCAGGTTTGACAGTATGAGCTGCAGCAAGAAAGCTCGATGTCAGAATAAGACGAAGAGGCTTGGCCCTAGTCGTGGCACATACCAGACCAACTAACATGGATTGACTGAGTTTAAGAATTTGATTGGACAGTTTAACATCACACATCGTCACAACACTAATAAACTGAAAATAAACTGGCATTTCTACAGCGCTTTTCTAATCTTAGTCAAAGTGCTTTAGATAACCTGTACATTCATCGAGCACATCGTCCTCTGGACTTGAGGACACTTCAAGGCTCCTGTACAAATCTTTTGACCATTGTTGACACTTTGGATACCTTTCAATGACGCCACCATGACTCAAAAATGAGTATGTTAAAAAACATCCACTCTTAATAATGTCTTTTCTGCCCTTATCCACACAGGGTAACCAAGAGGCCCCGGCTCCCCCTGAAGCTATGGCTCAACCTTTCCCACAAGCCCAGTATCCACCTCCTTCACAGAACGGGATTCCTGCTGAGTATGCTACACCCCACACCCACCCACCGGCTGACTACACGGGAACAAGCACAGTGGGCGAGCATACCCTAACACTATACACGGCGACACACACACAGAGTGAGCAGCCAGGAAACGACAGCAGCACTCCAGCTCTTACTACTAACACAGTATCGGTGAGTCTGTATTCACACATTCCTGTGCATTAGTTATCTTTTCTATCACAATGAGCTTCAGCTCGCGTATAAGACTTCATTCATTTCTGGTTAACATAACACTTGAAGCGTGGATTGTTCTTCTGCCTCGTAATCCATCATCACAGAGGTGCTCTTAGAGGCAGGACTTCAACACACAACACTGTAAAAACCTACAGTTATGAACAATGTTCCCTTTAAGCTGCGCAGGTGCGCAATTGCGCACTGCTGGCACAGTCTCTGCACAAAGGAAATCTGTGTTGCGCACACAAAAAAAAAAATCTAACCTGAAATTAAAATTAAAACTTTAACGATTCTGTTTTGCAGTGTGAGTCAGTGACTGGCTGCTCCTGTATGGGATTAGAACGAGGCCACCTTATCCCACAGTCCAGCCAAT